AAAAAACAGGTTCCTGTGATAGGAAGCAACAAATACATAGGACAAGGGGATTTAAAGTGAAGTAGGTGGTCAGAGAATGCCTTTCTGAGAAAGTTAACATTTAAGCTGACATCTGAAGAATGCAAAAAAGAGCAGCAGAAGTATCAAGGGGAGGACTCTATGGCAATAAAGTTCCTTAGAAACAGGTTAATGTGGTTCAAACATAGTGAAGGGAAGAGTAGCTTAGGATGAGACTGGTCATATGAAGTAGCAAGAACCATATTTTCGTGGTAAGAGTTATGATTTTCTTTTAAAGCTTCTTCCTCTACTAGACCTCTTTTAAGTGTTCATTAAAAATGGAGAATAGAATGTTGATTACCAGGGATTGGAGTTTGGGAGAATTGGAAAGATGTTGGTCAAAGGATACAAAATTTCAGTTAGGAGGAATAAGTTTTAAGATATTTGTTGTACAACATAGTGACTAGTTAACATTGATCTATTGTATACTTCACAGTTAATAAGAGAGAAGATTTTTTTAAGTATTTTTTACTAGCAAACAAAATGAATATGGGAGGCAATGTTTATGTTAATTAGCTTGATTTAGCCATTATTAGTGTATTCATATTTCAGAACATCATGTCATACACCATACACACACATAATTTCTATTTGTCAATTCAAAATACATATATGTATATTATACGTACATAGATGTAAGTATATATGTGTGTGTGTGTGTGTGTGTATATAATAAACATTAAAAAAGAAAAAAAATCAAAATGTTTTCAGAATGATAAATGAAGCTAAATGTCTTATACACTCAATTGTCCACTAACTCACGTACATTCTCTCGCATAAAAAAACACACAAATACATATGCCACATTTAAAACTTTTTTATTTGGGGGCTGGGATTGTAGTTCAGTGGTAGAGCACTGTGAGCCTCCGCACCACATAAAAGTAAGTAAATAAAATAAAGGTATTGTGTCCATCTGCAACTAAAATTTTTTTAAAAAGAGATCTATTTTGAAATTTTCTTTTTTAATTTGGAAATAATTTCAAGCTTACATAAAGTTGCAAAATTAGCTGGGCATTGTGCCACACGCCTGTAATCTCAGTGACTAGGAGACTAAGGCAGGGACATTGCCATCTTTGAGCCTAGCCTCAGCAGCTTCAAAAGATCTTATCTCAAAATCAGAAATAAAAAGGGCTGAGGATTTAGCCCAGTGTTAAAATGCCCCTGGATTCAATCCCCAAAATAAAATAATAATACAAAAAAACACTACATATCCTTTTACAGGTAGGGATTTAGCCATTGTTGTACAAGATATTTGTTGTACAACATAGTGACTACTTAACATTGATCTATTGTATACTTCAAAGTTGCTAAGAGAAAAGATTTTTTAAAGTGTTTTCACTAGCATCTTACCCCTGGGTGCATGCTTTCTTTTTGTTTTTCTTCCTTCCTGTCTTCCTTTGTTGTTTTTATTTTTGATGGGGAATGAACCCAGGAGCATTTTACCACTGAGCTTTATCCTAACCCTTTTTAAATTTTGTTTTGTCACAGCATCTTACTAAGTTGCCCAGGCTGTCCTCCAATATGCTGTCCTTCCTAGCCTTTCAGTTTGTACCACTGTACCGAGCCATTGCACTTTTTCAAAATCTGACTGGGATTTTAAGACTTTCTGTCAGAAGTTCTTCTGTTGTTTCCCATCACATTAATATCAATTCTTTATCTGGTTTCCATTTACCACTTTTTGGCCTTATAAATTTGAATTTTCCAAATCCAGTATATTCTTGCTTTACATGATTTGGTTACTGCTATTGAATACCCTTTCCCAGTCCTGCAAACACTTTGTTCAGCTCCTACTTTTCTTACTTTCTTTTTTCTTTCTTCATGTCTTCCTCCCTTTCTCTTTCTTTTCTTTTCTTCCTTTGGATTGCATCCAGGGGTGATTTACTACTGAGCTATATGCTCAGTCCTTTTTTAAATTTTTTTACTTTGAGGCATGGTCTTGCTGAATTGCCAAGGATCTTGCTAAGTTGCTGAGTCTGGCCTCAAACTTGTGATCCTCTTACTTCAACCTTCTAAGTTGCTGGAATTATAGGCATGTGTCATCACACTCAGCCTCTACTTATTTTTCAAAGTCCAGGTCATTTGTCAGCCTTAGCTTCTTCCCCAAGGAGTTCTCCCTCACCCCCATTTTTCTTCCTTTACTTCTGCTTAGATGTCTTTTTCCTGTATTTCATAATTAACTATAGTTTTATTAAAATACTTAAAACATTATATGGTAGCTGTTAACTTGTTTTGCTTCTCTGCCAAACCAACTTAATGAATTCACAGGAAGTATTTGTCTTTCATTTTCCATTTCATAATCATTTGACACAGCCAAATAGACTCTTTTTTTTTTTT